GTCAATCATAGCATGTCGCCATCCTGGATGAGATAGTGCCTCACCTGTAGACTTAGGGATAGAAACAGTGGACAAAGAAGATATAAAAGCATAATGTGGTGACGACAGACGATGATAACTTAAACCGACATAGTGGGGATTAGGATTAAGTGTGGATCGTACACCTTTGCGGAGTGCAATTGGTTGACTAAGAGGAGACAAGTCCGCAGTAGGTGCAGAATCTGATGCGGGGCGTGAATCACCTGGGCCTGATGCTGGATGTGGACACAACGATGATAAGTCAAGAGTGGTGGAGATGCAGAAGGTTGAACTGGATTATGCGGAGGAACTGGAGCTATAGGTGGTGGAGCTACAACTGGAGCTGTAGGTGGTGGAGCTGGAGTGACTGAATCTCCAAAAGATGAAACTGGTAGTACCTCAGAAATATCTAAGTGATGACCTGGACCTGTGAAGTATGATTGGGTTTCAAAGAAGGTAACATCATCGGACATAAGGTACTGCTGGAGGTCAGGAGAGTAGCATCGATGCCCCTTTTGTGTTCTCGAGAAACCCAGAAATATGCACTTAAGAGCACGAGAAGCTAACTTATTTGTTTCTGGAGTAAGGTTATGGACAAAACAAGTGCTTCCAAAGATACGGGGTGGAAGAGAGAACAAAGGTAAGTGGGGAAACATGACAGAGAATGGGACTTGGTTCTGGATAGCTGGAGATGGCATACGATTAATAAGATAGCAAGATGTAAGAACTGCATCCCCCAAAAACGCAACGGAGNTTGAAGTTTTGACAAATTGGGATGTCCCAACCGTTTATGTAATAAATCTGGTGAATCGGTAACAGGACAAGTTGTAGAAGGAAGACAAGATGTGAGTTCATGTGATTTAGCAAGGATAAGGTAATAAAGTCCGTTTGATTCACGCCCGGTACCAATGATCCGCCCCGTACTGCGTTCCTGTATAAAAACATGGTCATCAAGAAATAAAACAGCGCATTTAAGTGATTTGGCTAAGCGACTAACAGCTATGAGATTAAAAGGACTATTGGGAACATAAAGGACTGAATCTAAAGGTAAGGAAGGAAGTGGGCTTGCTTGGCCTATTGCAGTTGCCATGGTTTGAGATCCATTGGCCATTGTGACTTTTGGAAGAGATTGAGAATATGAAATAGTAGTGAAAAGAGATTTGTTACCAGAAATATGATCTGATGCACCTGAATCAATGACCCAAGACTCAGAGGATGAAGATTGGGAGAAACAAGTCACGCTATTACCTGTTTGAACAACAGAAGCTATCTCAGAAGATCTCTGCTTACATGCTTTGTACTGAAGGAATTCAATATAATCTGCTAAAGAAACCATCCGACTATTCAAAGCATCGGTTCCCATGTCGCTACAATTTGTATTAGTAGGGTTAACTTGAAATAGTGGAAATAAGTAACTCCTGTGAGAAAACTAAAGAGATGGCTTGAAAAACACTGTTTACAACAGGAAAACAGAACACCGTTCTGCGCCAGAAACACTGTTCACGCCGGAAACATTGTAGCTCGCCGGAAAATTCCAAAGTTGTCGGAATTTGTCGTAACCAGGATGAATAGACTCGGAATTCCTTTGCGAGCAAGCTGTCCTTAAGAAGCTTTGCGAAAAAATGGCCGGAACCCTCGCCGGAAAAGTTGCTGTTGCCGGCGCGTGGAGGAGCGTGACGGCTTTTCTGCCGGATAAAATTTCAGGGGTTGGTCATCGGAGGGTGATCTACCTCGTGGTGGTGTTGGTTTTAGCACAACACCGACAAAAAGTGACTTTCACTTAGACATGCCTTAGGTCACCGGAAAAATTGCACGATGACTAAGTTCTTTCTTCCCGGTTAACGCTGGAATGACGCACAACGATCTTTTCTCACTAATGCTCTGATACCATGTGAGAAGGCACGGGAGATATTAGATGATAAATACAATATAAGAGGTCCCTATTTATAGCTATACACTACAAGGAGATATTACTCCTCTTCCAATGTGGGACAAGACTACACTATACATGTCTGTAAACTAACAGAGGTGACATTATATATTTGTCTTAATCGCCGCTGTTAAAAGAAGGAAATATTTCATTGTTGTGATTATGCTGGATTATGTTGTTTTTTTAAAGTAAAACTAAAGTTAAAGCATGCAGGAGAATGTTAGCTGAATGTTTTAGTTACAATATCCTTCATTATTAAACAACAATGTTGTTTTGGTCCCTTCCTGTTCCTGCACTGTATGTAAATTTTGAATCTTAGTCCACTTTGTTTGATCTTTAATTTGCTTTTTTCCTATGCGTCCAGTAATGATGAAAAAACCATCACAGAGAAAATACTGCAGAAAGTCAAGCTCGGGAATTATCAGGTTGCTGTAATAAGCTTTTGCACTAACTTTTTGAAGTTTGATGCTCTAGCAATTGCAAATTTTAAGTTTGTTAATTCGTGCTGTGAGTTTCTTGAAGTAATGTTGTCGTTCTCATTTCTGCAGTTGGGAAAGACAAAAGTGTTCCTTAGGGCTGGCCAGATTGGTGTTTTAGACTCACGTCGTGCTGAGATTTTGGACTCTTCTGCGAAGCAAATACAAAGTCGGCTACGTACATTTCTTGCACGCAAGGACTTCATCTCAAACCGATTGGCTGCAATTCATCTACAGTCTTTCTGCAGAGGTCCTTTCTCTTAGTATAATGTCTTGCTGCTAAACTATACTTCGTCCAGAATAGTGCATGACTGTCTGATCTCCACAAAATGATATTCATGTGCTTATTACTACCGCAAAAGTTTGCTTTGGTTATCCCTTTCTGCGCGAATCTTTAGATGAGAAGGGAATGATGTTACCTTCTGCCTATTCCTAGTTTAAATTTATTATTTTTGGTGAAATACGATGCAATATACTGTTTGTTTCTAGCCTAGTAGAAATAAGTTGTGGTTTTGGTTCCCCTTATCCACTACTTTTTGGTTCTTGTTTTGTTGGGGAACAAAACTTTGTTTAGAAGGAATCTTTGATGTTTTTATGATGAGTTTGATATTCATCTAGTTTGATTTGTGGTTAGGCTTTGCCACCTCTTAGGATTCTCCTAACGTTTCTGGTTTAACTGCTTTTCATTAATGGGACCAATAAATAATAAAATGCAGTGTAAATCATAAAGATTTTGCTTGATGCCAGTATATCTGAAAAATTAGAAGCAGGAAATTCAAATATTCATTTTGTTCTCACAGAAATTTAATTAGGCTGTTAAACCAGTCAATTTCATTTTGTTCAGGTCTCTCTGCCTTTTTAAAGGCAGGGGTAAGGTCTGCGTACACTCTACCCTCCCCATACCCCACTTGTGGGACTACACTGGGTTTGTTGTTGTTGTAAACAAGAGTCAATTTCCTAGGTGATATAATTAGGCTGCAGAGGTCTTTTCTCTCAGGCAGATTTCTAGGATTGAACAGTTTGTTAAGTTGGAAACTGACGGTATCCTTATGATCATAGAGTAAAACAAAGCCACATATGCAACAATTAATGGCATATTTCCTCCTGGATAAAGATTAAGTGATGTGCTCTCATATATTTAATTGAAGCAGCTTTATTTACAAAATAATAGATGTCATGTTTTTGCTTTGCATCGTGAGTTTTTGTAGTTGTTGGTCTAATATACAACTCTTGCTAGTAATTATTTCTGAAAAAACAATATATCCAACTTATCATATCTAGAAAAAAGATGAAGTCTCCAGTCTGGCTGTAACAGTATGTGATCTGACTTGTGTGCATTTCCTTACTTGCTTGTATTTGTCCGTTTTATGTGTTTTAATTAATTAATGCTAATGTCAGGTTGCTTTTCCTGCATCAGCATTTTTTTTTTGGTCTTAGCAGTAAATGAGGCTTGAAAGCATTGTCGACTTTTGCAGGTTATCTTGCTCGTAATTTATATGCTGCACTGCAGGAAGCATCAGCTGCGATCATAATTCAGAAATATGTGCGGAAGTGGATCTTGAGGAATGCTTATGTGCAATTTTATGCTTCTTCTCTGCTGATACAGTCTTGCGTTCGTGGTTTTGCTGCTCGACAGAAGTTCTTATACAGGAAGGAGAATAAGGCTGCTACTATCATTCAGGTGAATAGATATTCCCTTTCCCACCATGTACGGCTTTTACATTTTATAAAATTGAGTTTTTAAATTAAACAAGAACTATTTAGGTGAGATGAAAAGTTGTGGTTGTTGTGTGTTTGGACACCCCCCCAACCCCAACCCCAACAAGAAAAAGAAGAAAGGAAAATGGGAATTGTTCTAAGCTAATGTTCGATATTCTTTCTGCTACTGCATAGGCACATTGGAGAATGTGCAAGTTTCGATCAGCGTTTCGTCATCGGCAGTCCAATATTATTTCTATACAATGTCTTTGGAGGCGAAAAATGGCAAGAAGAGAGTTCAGAAGGCTCAAACAGGTAAGAAGGATGGTACTTCTGTTTTCAATGTCTAGTTTGGTATTTGCCGACAAGCTCTACTTGAAATTTCTTCATGTGATGGAGATATCCTCATTTTTATGAGGGACAAAAATTGTGATAAAAGTAGTTAGGAAGGATGAGAAATGTTGTAGCTGGATGGTACAATATTTTTACGGAATAAATTATTGCTCTAGCTGACTGTGTGCTGCTTTTAGTCAAAAGAAGCTTATGATTGCATCTGCTGAAAATGCTATGCTGTAATACGAAAACTTGACAAAGATTAGCCTGCCTTCATTAGTAACCATGTCATTTAGTCTGTTCATGAAATTTTGAAGCCCAGAGTATGTTACCCAACTTTGTGCTTGCATAAGGCATAAGAAAAATACCAGAATATGTGTAGCCATAGCCTTTTAGGACGCACATTTCCAGTGCTTTAGAAATTAGATGTGAGTTACAAAGTTCTTAGAGTCAGGGGTAAGTGATAAACATTATGCTTTAGCAGCCAAGTTAGAAACACTGCCATTTGTTCCCTTTTTATGCTTGGCTGGGGTCTATGACTGTTCGCATTTATATCAGTACTGTAGTTCTCATTTTCAGATCTGCTTTATTTTGTTGCGTAATTTTATTTAATATCATAAATTACATTTATGCTAAATCTAGGCTCCGCATGAAAATAAATGTACATTTTTGCGTAAATATATTACAATTTGTATCTTGTTCTTGTTTACTGTAAATTTGCGAAATTGATGCTCTTGCTTTTGCTGGTTGTGCTTGAAATTCTATATATTTGTCTTGCCCCCATCAAAAAAGAGTTGATAGATTTTACAGAGAACTCATAGGCTACTCTGTCGCCTAGTGGACAATGAAGTGGGTGGAGAACCTGAGGTCTCAGGTTCATTAGTTATTTCTTCCCATCCGTCTACGCTTAAGTGGACATAGTTACCCGGTACCTGTGCAGGTGGGAGGTAGCAGGTACCCAGTAAAATTAGTCGAGGTGTATGCAAGCTGGCCCCAACACCACCAATATTAAAAAGAAAAAAAGAACAATGTTACAGAATGGAATGTTAGTCAGAAATTCAAGATAATTCTTTTTATATGCTTTAGTTGGCTGTTGCCGCTATAGAATCTTTTCAATTTTGATTTAATCTTGTGGATTGCTGCCATACCTCACAGATATTATGAAAGTTGGTGTGCCAGGTTTTCCGTGGATGAAATTCTATTCCCCTAATTTTCCAAAAGTTCAGCTATTATTTCTCTTTAAAGAGTTGACACTTAGTTTTTCTCTTGTACAGGAAGCTAATGAAGCTGGTGCCCTTCGTATAGCAAAAACCAAGCTTGAAAAGCAGTTGGAGGATCTCACTTGGAGGTTGCAATTAGAAAAAAAATTGCGGGTACTAGTCCATTTGTTAACTTACATGTGAATGATTTATTGATGCGGTACCATATTTTGCTCTCTAATTGAACAAAATGTCCTTTAAACATTGTGATGCAGCTATCTAATGATGAGGCTAAATTAGTGGAAATTTCAAAACTTCACAAGACTGTAGAATCTTTAAGCCTTGAGTTAGATGCAGCAAAGTTGGCTGCAGTCAATGAGGTCAACAAGAATGCTGTGCTCCAAAGACAACTGGATTTATCCATGAAGGAGAAAGCTGCTTTGGAAAGAGAAGTTTTTTCAGTGACTGAGCTGAGAAATGAAAATACATTTCTGAAGGTCATATAACTGATTTTCTGTTTGCATTCAACTCTGATTGCACTCATATTGAAATTGGATGATTGATTCCCTTTGTGGAAATTTAGTTCTAGATGTTGTGAGCATCTTTTAAGCATCTCTCGTTGTTGGAATTTATAATGCATCTTGGCCTGGTAGTGTCACTCTCTAGAATGGAAAGACTTTTGTTATACCCAATGGATCTTGATCAGCCAGAAAGTTTATAAGCTTAAGAGGATGAGCAGCAACAACTACTTCTCAATCCCAAGCTGGTTTGGGTTGGCTATATAAATCCTCACAATCTATGTCGGTCCATTTAGACCCGTCTCAATTTAATATTTAACTATTTAGACTCTCTAGCACTAGAAGTTCTCTACATTTTCTACTAGGATACAATCTTTAACAAGACTAAAAGATTTCTAGCAAACACTAAACCTAAAATAAACATACCAGCAAGCCCCTGGGCTTTGGTCTACTTTTAAGAGTACATCTTGTGATGTGTGGGTTAGGTGCACATCATGGGTTTGTACCCGGCCGTAGACAGAAGCTTGGTATTTAAGTGGAGGGTAGTGGAGCGGGCCCATTTTCCACCGAGTTTCTAACCGTGCGCCACTGGCCCTAAAGGGATTTGTCGGTTATCAAAAAAAAAAAAACTTACATGATTGAACCTTAATCTCAACTAATTGGCATCACCTATGTGTTTATTTAATCCATTGTGCTAGATTTTCACTAAATCTGCATAGATTCCAAGAGATTAAGAGCTTAGAACAATATGATGTAGAATTTATCTGATGATGGTAAGAATGTTTGTTTGCTAACATGTTGCTTATAAGAGCTCTGAAGGTTATGCATTTTTTTCTAAATGTCAATGAAGGACTTGTATATGCCTTTCTTCTGGCCCCTAGGGCTTCGATCTAGTGGTAAGAGCTTAGCGTGTGATGTGTGAGTTAGGCGCACGGCATAGGTTCAAACTATGTTGCAAGCAAAAGCCTGGTATTTTAACTGGAGACGGGTAGAGGGGTGGCCCCTAATCCATGAGTTTCGAGCCGTGCGCCATTTGCCCTCGGGATTTCTTGGTTATCCGTTATCAAAAGAAAATCTATTGTTGTCTTCTTTCTTCTTCTTCTTCTTCTTCTTACTGTACAGTTAGTTTCTTTTGTGGTGTGTTGGGGGGGGAGGGGGTTGCTGGATGTCTTTAAGGCTTCTATAACCACAAGAAATTAAGCTGTAACTACTGGATGAAATATTTATATTTATCATGATTAACTGACATTGGAATTATTTGCATTTAATCACTGATTAATATATAAGTTGCAAGATACTACTTCTAGATGACTTGCTTGTTCTTGTAGACAATGACTTTAAAGAGAGTCCTCCTAGTTGCTTTTGCTTTAGAGCAGAAAGGGCCTGATGTGCATGCCTTACTGCAACTCGGATAGCCAGTTCACATGCTCTATAACAACTCTAACCCTATAAGAATAGCCGAAGACTTGACACTGTGGATACTTATTATTTGGTGTCTTTGCAGAGTTCATTAAACGCCTTGGAGGAAAAGAACTCAGCATTGGAGCATGAGCTACTAAAGGCTAAAGAAGAGTCTACTGACACAATTTCCAAGTTGACAGCAGTTGAAGAAACATGTTCACAACTCCAACAAAACTTAAAAAGGTAATTTTAATAAACCAAAGAGAAGTTGTTTGGGGCAATCTCACAGCATAGTTAGTCTTCTGCTTCTTGTTAATGGTAAAACGTATACATATATAAGGAAATGGAATGATATCTGCTCAAGTTTGTTAAAAATGTTGAATTTTGTCTCTATCTACACACATTTTTGGTGCTGCAACCATATAGTTTTTCATAACTGGTTGATTTCCAGATGTTTTAAAACTTATGTATCTTTTCTATATCAGTATGCAAGAGAAGCTCTCAAATTTAGAGGATGAAAATCATATCCTCCGACAGAAAGCACTGGGTGCAACTCCAAGGAGCAATCGTGCTGGTTTTGCCAAGCCTTTTATCGATGTAAGCTGTAATATGTTAACTTATGATGTATAAACCATGGTGGAGAATTCTTCCTTGCATGCTATAGCTCTAGATCCAATAAACTTTTGTCCCCTTTGTGCAGAAATTTTCTGGTGCACTCGCTTTGCCCTCTGCTGATCGTAAATCTTCATTTGTATGTATCCTTTTTTGCAGTCTCAGTTTAAGTACGTAGTTCTGTTTCTTTATTTCTTGATCTCTAACGGTTGTGTTATGTTCGTTAGGAATCTCCCACACCAACAAAAATGATACCACCTCTTGCTCAAGGATTTTCTGATTCGCGTAGAGCTAAGTTGACCAGTGAAAAGCAGCAGGTTTCTTTCTGTTTCAAAACTAGTGATGATTTATGTTTTTCTTTGCCATGATGGCCTGGTTATCACTGTTTGGGAGGGTGGGTGCGAAGTTTAAGAAAACCAAGGGACAGGAGTGATGAAGGGTACTAGGCATTCAGGTAGTAGAAGAGGATTATAGAGGATTGAATCTCATTTACTTCCCTTGTTGTAAAACAACGCGTGAAAGAACTAATTTCCCTTGTGAGAGAAAAGTGATGAGTCTCCGCTACTCTAGTTACCCTCTGTCCCAATTGTAATTTTAGTAGATAACTAGTGTAAAAGGTCTAAGTAAAGGTGGCTTTGTTGATGTATGCTTCTTTAAAGTGAAGTCTCTGTTGCAGGAGAACTCTGAAATTCTTTCACGGTGTATCAAAGAGAATTTGGGATTTAAGGATGGAAAGCCAGTTGCTGCTTGTGTCATCTACAGGTGCCTCCTTCACTGGCATGCCTTTGAGTCAGAGAGGACTGCTATTTTTGACTTTATCATTGCGGGTATCAATGAAGTTTTGAAGGTAATCTCTTTGATGTCCTTGGTTGTAAATGATTTCTTAATTTTTAAATTCTGTTTGGCTTTGTCAAACTACTTGATGCTTCATTATGTAGTTCTTAACCAGGTTATGCGTAAGTGCATCTTTTCAGATTGTAGCCGATTCAAGGTTACATTTATATTAATTGTTTGTTTTTGTGCTTTTGGTTACCATGTTATGAGTAAATCCCTCGACCAACTTTTCTCTTTCTGTGGACATTATCTTTGATATTCTCCAAATTAACACGCTGTGGTGCAATCTTGAGCAAGTCAAAATGCTAATGGCTTCTTTGGATTGATGTGTTTGTCAGATGTGACTACTGTGAGATTAAGCAACATATATGGAACATTTTGAAGGGACTACCAAGAAGTTGGAGTTGTGGTCCTAGTCCTAAATCCATTGAGTTGCAGATCTAAAAACAATAGAAGTGTTCCTTAACATTATAAGCTTTTAGATGAGGTGGTTCATACACTTTAAAGGTCCTGGATTCGGTTCATAACCTTTAAAAGATCCTGGATTCAACTCTGTCGGCTGCTTATCAACAAATATTTCATATGCTTGACCTGTGAAAAAGAATTGGCCTGCAAATAAATGTGCTTTATCTTAAATATTTGGATGTAGTGGTCTATGCATTTTTTTTTTTTGATGTGATAAACCCACCCATCTTTACCCCACCCAAGAGCCCAACAATGGCTCTTTTCCTAGTCCCTGCTTCATTACCTGTGTGACCCCGGACCTTAACCTTATGTTTGGAGGTGGCAGGTCCTTACCGCTAGGCTATACCTTCCTTGTCAGAGGCGGCTATACAATTCAATACAAAGTTTCAAATCTTTTTGCAGACAAGCCTATAATTACTTGCTTACCATGATATGCAGCTGCATATCTGGGTTGGCTTGCTAACCTAGTTGTGAACCACCTTGCTAAGTATTGAACCGAACTCATTGTATAGACAGAGCCTCTAATAAGTTGGTTACCATGATATGTAGCTGTACATCCAGGTGGCTTCCTAACCTAGTGTGTGATCACCTTGCTAGCTATTATACCAAATGTGATCGTTGAACAAATGACAGTTTTATTCTAAATGAAAGGACACCTTTTCCTTTTTGAATAAATGCAATTTTCAAAAAGATTCTGGTAGTTTTAAACTAGCTAATGTCTTTAGTTTCATTCATCTTTAACCAGGTTTTCTTCTTTCTTCTATTTTCTTGGGGTGTCAGGTCGGAGATGAGGCTGTTACATTGCCTTATTGGTTATCGAATGCATCTGCACTTCTCTGTCTGCTGCAAAGAAATTTGAGGGCGAATGGATTCTTTAGTACTTCTCAGCGTTCTGGAGGCGGTTCTGCACTAAATGGGAGGGTCGCACAAGTAAGTTGTGTATCTCTTGATAAGTAAAAATTCTGGTGTTTGTAATAGTGTAATCATGTTCCGTTGTTACTAATATCCAATAGTATTTGATCATGATTGTAATTGGAAATTTTTTGATAAAGTAGCAAGTGACAAAATTAACACAAACCCCTCTATTTTTAGCTGTAAAATATTATTTGTATTTCTATGTAGTTAATACAAAATTGTGTCTGCATACTCATAAATTGGATGAGTTGACTGTATCGCGAACCTTGCCATTCTTTTTGGGTGGTTAAAATTTCTTTTATGCATAACCGAAAATCCTCGAGGGCCAGTGATTCATGATTCAAAATTCGGTAGATATGAGCTCGCCCATCTACCCTTCTCCACTTAAATACCAAGTTGTTTGTCTTCGACAGGGTTCAAACTCATGAGTCATGACGGCTAATTCACACATCACGCACTGCGCTCTAACCACTGAGCAAATCACCGGAACGCGGTATCAACCTAGTGTTATCCTATCCTGTATAGATCTCATCGTCTTCACGTCTTCTTTCCCACAACTTTATGCTAGAAATCCTTTGATGCCTTTTTCTTCTTCTCTTGTTGGGAAAGCTATATCTATGTGGCCAACGAGGTAAGTTGCTCGGACTCTTCACTTTTGGTTCCGCACCCGTGTCGACACGACGGTGGTGTGGGTGTGGGATCCGTACCGTATATGGTCAACCGATTTTGGGTACTTTGACTAAAATCGAGAGAAAATTTCGGGATATATATAATAATTATTGAAATCAAAACAAAAGCTAGGGTGAATTTGAAGTCCATCAGCCATCTTCTACTACACTGCCCAGTTGCAGTCGAACTTTGGAACTTCTTCCTCTTTGTTTTTGGCCCGAGTTGGGTACAACCTCAGTCAATAAAAGATGCTTATGAATGTTGGAGTTTTTGCGGAGTTGATAAAGCCATCAAATAAGTCTGGAGGATGATCCCAGCTACTATCTTTTGGTGTTTATGGAATGAAAAGAACCACAGATGTTTTGATGGAATCTCAACCCCAACACACACTTTGAAGGCTATCTGTTTAACCAACCTATACAGCTGGTGTACTCTTACCCCTGTAAACTGTCCAATTAATTTTTTGGATTTTGTTAGCTCCTTAAACTTAGCTTAGCAGCCATTGTACTGGAGCTAACACAACTTTTGCTTTTGTAATTCTGCATCTACTTGATGCCTATCAATGATATCTCTCTTACTTCATCAAAAAAAAAAAAAAAGCTAGGGTGAAATTGAAGAAAATGGAATACCTTGTATTTTGAAATTTCTATGTCAGTCCTTTTCCTTTTTTCTCCTTCTCGGATTCTCCTCTTGATCAATATTTTCTCCTCCTCGGAATACCTTGTAAGTTTTCCACATAATATCTCTTAATTACACATATTTTTATGACTCTATTTTAGATATTTGAATTATTTTTAGCCTATCCTGGCACATTTACCATACCTGGATCCGTACCCCGAATCTTAAGATTTAGATCATGAAGGATCCGACATCTAGATCGGCAACTGTATCGGACATTTGCACCCGAGTCCGAGCAACTTAGTCAACGAGTCATGTTACTGTCGTCTATGGCCTCGGTGCCTGATTTGTGTGTCCTCTTCGATAAGTCTTCTTTAAATCCTCCGGGCTCTATCTCTTTCATTTCCCCTTTACCCTTGGATCCCCGAGGAAGGGGAAAGGCTATCTATGTGTGTGTGTATTTATTGTTCAATGCGTTGTGCTTTATCCTTATCAAATCTGCTATGATTGTCGTTAGCTTTTTTGCATTTATCATCATTCAAATTGCTGGATTACGTTAAGAGACCTAACAGGTTTTTGTGTTTTCACCTTCTTCAGAGTTTAAAGTCGCCCTTGAAATTTATTGGATCAGAGGATGGAATGTCACATATGGAAGCAAGATATCCAGCTTTACTGTTTAAACAACAATTAACCGCATGTGTAGAGAAGATATTTGGTCTGATTCGTGATAATTTGAAGAAGGAAATATCCCCATTGCTGGGTCTGTGCATTCAGGTGCGCTATTCCTGCCTCCCAAATAATTTTCCTGTGCATGAGCATGTCATCAGATTCAGCTGTTGAACACCGTCTTTCAGTACTTAATGCCTTTTATTGAACTGATTTTCCAAGTCAGCATTATTTTCTTGTCGAATCTACTGATTCTAGTTAGGTCATGACAAGCCCTACCTACTGCTTTACGTCCTTTCCCTTTTTTTTTTTTTTTTGTGCGTGTGTGTGGAGGTGTTTATGAAGAACTGAGTAATGATAATTGAGTGAGAGGTTGGAAGAAGAATTCGTGATGCTTTTGTCTTTTGGCGTCATATGCTCGACCTGTTTCAGACACTTTTGTTGTAACTCGGGGCTGAACTTACTCAAAAGCATTATTTCAAAATAAGGAATGTGTACGATAAGATAACTAAGTACAATATCAGTTTTCTGTCTCGCTTTTTGAAAACTACGCTAGCCTTCCAAGCAAGCTGTAGTACCCTCGAGAAGCTTTTCAACATAGTCAGGAATACTTGAAAATCCCTTTCTTTCTTTGTGTTTATTGACTCTATGGAGTCAAGATGTTAAAAGTTCAATGCATCATACGGAGATAGCATTTTGTTAAAATTAGGTTATTTAAAAAAAAGATATTAATAAGTTTAATATAATACTCCGTCCATTTACAAATTGCTTGACCCCATTTGACTTACTCAAACAAGCACTACAACTAATAAGCATTAATTTAAAATAATATAAAAAATATAAAAAATTGGGAATTTGACCAAAGAGACAAACCGTGGTCGAAAATGTGAAATATCTTTAACTATAATCATTAGAGAATAGAGATGGATACGTATGTTATTTTGGACACATTAACGCGACACATTCAAGGGGAGGTGCGATGGTGTATGTTATTTGCAGATGATGTAGTTCTGATTGACGAGACGCGAGGTGGTGTTAACGAGAGACTGGAGGTTTGGAGACAAACTCTTGAGTCTAAAGGTTTCAAGCTAAGCAAGACCAAGATGGAGGACTTGGAGTGCAAGTTAAGCGACGTTACTCAGGAAGCAGACATAGATGTGAGGAAGTTTCAAGTACCTTGGGTCAATAATACAAGGTGATGGAGAGATTGATGAGGATATCACGCATCGCATAGGGTGGATGAAGTTGAGGCTCGCTTCCGGTGTTTTGTGTGATAAGAATGTGCCGTTGAAATTTAAAGGTAAGTGGTTAGACCAACTATGTTGTATGGGGCAGAGTGTTGGCTGGTCAAGAACTCTCGTGTCCAGAAGATGAAAGTAGCTGGGATGGATGTGTGGACATACTAGGTTAGATAAGATTAGGAATGAAGTTATTCGGGATAAGGTGGGCGTGACCCCCGTGGAGGATAAGATGCGAGAGGCGAGGTTGAGATGGTTCGAGTATGTTAAGAGGAGAAGCATAGAAGCCCCAATTAGAAGGTGTGAGAGGTTAACCTTGGTGGGTACGAGCAGGATAGAGGTAGGCCAAAGAAGTTTTGGGGAGAGGTGATTAGGCGGGGCATGGCCCTTGATAGGAGGGTGTGGAGGTTGAGGATTAGGGTAGAAGGTTAGTACGTAGTCGAGCGTTTTCCCTTTGTCTTCCTCAGTTTGATAGCATTAGGTTAGTATGTATCTTTTTATTCTTAGATTGGTATTACTACCTAGCGTGTAATTGCTATCTTGCCTTCGGTTTTCTCTTTTTATCTTCTTGTTGTTACTAATTAGTGCCGTTACTTCTCTTCATCCTTTCTTTAGCCGAGAGTCTATCGGAAACAACCTTTCTGCCCTTCCAAGGCAGGGGTAAGGCTGCGTACATCTTACCCTCCCAGGACCCCACTTGTAAGAATTCATCAGGTTTTTTATTGTTGTTTGTTGTTATGTATATATTACCATTAAGAAAATAATAAACTAAAAGGAAATTAATTGGAAATTGAAAATGGAAGTAGCTGAAGTGAAAGGTTAGACATAAAAGTTGGTATTCCCTTTGTTACATTTTGTATATCACTCTTTCCTTTTTTGTCTATTCCAAAAAGAATAACACCTGTCTGTATTTGAGAACTCTTAACTTTAAACTTCTCGTTTTACCTGTAGTGACATGCTGTTATAGTCATAGAAATGTCATGGCGTGTTTCAAACCATAAGTTCTAAGGGTACTTATAATATGTGCCAACAATCTTCCTTCTTTCTTTCTTAAACATCGTGTCCAGTCAAATATCACCATATAAAATGGAAGTAAAGGAGTAAAAGGGCTTCTCGGAGGATGAGCATTTGGGTTGCTTGGTGTTATTATGAGGTAAACATCCCATTTTAGTGGAAAAAATCATTTTCTTTAGGACGGAATACAAAGGAAGTTGGTGAATGCTGATGGAGGGAGACTGAGTCCTTTATGCGATTTAGTTATTATCTTTATCTTTTTTCCTTTTTTGGATTATCATTATGATTGAAAGTCCTGCAAGGGGGTGGGTAGGTGTAACATGATATAAAGGGATTTTGTCTCAAAAACTAAATCTCTTGGGATCAATACACATTCAATTAAGAGCAGGAAACAATAGAAGCAAAGGATCCATATAGGTGGTACCAACTACCTCTTGTTACATTTGGTTTCACGCTTATGGTGGCTTGTTCTGGATTGGTTCGAGGTGTGGTGGGTGATGCTGGATGAGCTACATAGAAGGAGAACTAGAAACAGAAGAAAAGACACAGGGCATCAGAATTTGCCCCGCTAGCCATCTTGTGGGTCTTATGGAAAGAGAAATATAAGAGCTTTTAAGGGATTAAAAAATGAATTTGTACATTTGGGGAAGGATCTCTTATTCTTAATTAGTATTTGTTGCACCCATGATATTCCTGTATAGAAGATTGAGTGACATCGGTAGAGAACCATATTATTGTGTAGGTTCTCTACTTTTTGTTATACAACTTGTATGCGAGAGTATTTTCCCACATTAATAAATTAATTTGCTTATAAAAAAAGGTGATACCAACTAAATTGGCATTAAGGCTTAGTTGTTACACTTATATTAGATGGATGCTTATCAACAATATCATTGATTTATCTAAATACTTGTATATTAGTATGGATAAGTATGGAATTTGGAGAACTTCTAGTTATAAAAACAGTGTAGGGATAAGTATGGAATTCGGAGAACTTCGAGTTATAAAAACGCCGAATATGTATTCAAAAGTTTTACTCCCTTTGACCCAATTTATGTGATGCACTTTGCTTTTTAGTCTGTCTAAAAAAGAATGATACCTTTTTATGTTTGAAAACAATTTAACTTTAAACTTGTTTTACCCTGAGATGATTTATAGCCACACAAATATCTATACCTCATTTTAGACCACTAGTTTCAAAATTCTTTCAGTCTTTATTTCTTAAATTGCGTGCCATTCAAAGTGCGTCACATAAATTGGGATGGAGGGAGTATTATTACTATTAGAATGTAAATGGACCCGAAAAATGTGAAACTGATATAGAGTCATCTAGTCAATCCCAACTTGTTTGGGATTGAGGTGGTGTTGGCTGATATTTGATTGCCATATGATAACTCCGTTGAATTTTAAATAAGTAACTACTACTAAATTGGGGGATTTTTTTGAAACTCTAAATTGGGGGATTTTTAACAACAAAAAAACTAAATTGGGGAATTTTGTTGATTGTTTCATGCTCTTCCTGTAGTTAAGCATGATATATACATCACCTGATAGGCTACCTTTTTTTCCTAAGACTGTAATTTTAATTTTCTGTATCACGTGTTCATGTGTGAAGGCACCAAAAATCCAACGGGTGCATGGAGGCAAATCAACTAGATCACCTGGTGGTATCCCTCAACAGGCACCAAGCAGTCAGTGGGATAGCATCATCAAATTTCTGGATTCTTTCTTGAGCCGCTTACGCGGAAATCATGTATGCATATTGTTCTCATCCTCTCATTTAGCTGTATTTTTTCTCACTCTTCATTTGAGGTTGCAGTATTGCGTTGATGAAGAATTTCTTTGATGCAATTTTCATATGTCATGTTTGTAGTTGCATTTTAATGTTGCAAAGTCCTTACAATTGCTATTCCATTTATGTTTACCGTTACTAGACTTAGAATAAACAGCTTATCCTTATTTCTATTGCAACAACTGTTTTTTATTCCCTCTATTTCAAGTTGAACGTGTTGTTTGACTCTTGCTTTTAAAACAACAATTTTGGTTATGAATAGTGATAAAGGAGGGATAGCGTAATGAAAAGAGTTCTCAACCTCAACCATGAAGTTGGTGATTCGAGTTACTGAGGAAGCAAAGTGGGTATAGCTACTTTTTGAGGGGCTTTGGGCTTTGCCATTTCTCGAGGAAAAAAAAATCTTGTCCTGAATAGTCTGGTTAGTTGGAGTTTAAAGTATGTGATTTACATTATTGTGGTGGTCCGAAGTGTAGGATAGTGGTTAATTTTTGGGATTTAAGATTATGGGTTGTCTAAGACCATTAAACCTTTTATGTGTACTTTTCAGTTGCAATGCGTTAGTTCTCTTTTGTGTGGACACAGAAGTTAAGATGAGAGTTGAGTTTCATTCTTAATAGAAGTCATTCCAGAACCTAGTTTTTTTTGTTTTTTTTGTTTTGGTTGGGACAATTAGAACTTTTTCTAGCACAGCCTGGTCTTTCTGAATGATAGTTAAAATATTGAAGAGTGCAAGGGAAAGTTGCCCTGTAAATAATTTAAAACTAGAACAGTCTATTTGTAGGTCAAATAGAGTATATATTTTTGGGAAATGCTATTTTGGCACTGCCAGATGGATAACATGCCATTCAATTTAAAAATGGGTTAGTAGGGATTCTGCGACGCAGTGCAATTTAAAAATATATATTATGCCTTACAAATCACGTGCTACACAATTGGACCTTTGTAAAGAGGAGAAGATGACGCAAGGCTGGGCATGAGATGTAGCCTTATTAGCTCTCATGTGGGTTCTTTGGGAGATGAATATGAGAGCTTTGGAATATAATTTTGTATATATGTGGAATAACCTCCAAAATTTTATTAGTTTTGGTGCATCCATGAGTGTTCCTGTTTATATGGATCGTTGGTGTTTCCCATAGAGAACCACATTTTTGTGTAGGTTCTATACTCGTTTTATACTGCTTGTATATGAGACTTTGTCCCAAATCAATAAATTTGTTACTTCATCCCAAAAAAAAATTATGCTGCACAAAATGTAAATGGTGAGATTTCAGAGTTTTCGCCAAGGCCGGATAAAGTCGCTAGAAAATCTGTTCACAGCCAACAATGAGGGTATGCATAAGTTCCTTTTTGTTTGTTTTTTCCCTTGGATATGATAAATCTATCCCCAAACCCTCTACCCAAAGGAGGCCATTTTCCACTATGCTTTCTTGGTGTTTGGGGGGGG